TGTGCTTGTATGTATTTATTTGTACCATTTTTTCCCAAGAACAATGCACCTTTTTAAGATAGAAGCTTATTTTACCTGCCTGACACCTTGCCCTTCGTCCTGGTTATCTATATGTTATTCCACACTTGCCTCTTCATGTATTGCACACAAATGTGGTCTCTGCCATTTGCTTACCCTTGTAGTCTCTCTGCATGCCTTGGTATGCCTTTTAATTAGATGCACTTCTGTTCTTTCATTGCTTGTTAACCCTTTCTTTTGAGAGGCAATTTGCCTTAGCCCTGCAAATAACCTCTGTTTTTTGCAAAGTCAAGTCCATTTCCCTCGGTAACCTTGATTTCACCAGCTATCATTTATACCACAAATAATTCAGCCTCTAATTAGTCCATCTGTTAACTATTCAAGTACACATGACTTATCTTTATTATGTAACATAATGGTCAGTTTTCTTACCTGCTAGTGATACTTTGGTATGGAAAATAGTTTTTCTACTTATGACTTTCCCATGTTGTCAATGTGCCCCCTATGGAATATATTGCAGATTACATGGTTTTATGGTTGTGCCAAGGAACAGGATAAGGATTTCACCCTCTCTTTTTTGTTGTTGTTTGCTTTCTGCAATTGTTGTTGCTTCCAACTAAGTGCAGAGGCTTTGTAGTTACCTCCTCCTTTTCTTTTCCAGATTTCCTTCAAATTAGAGAGGTTAATGCTAATGTGTGTTTTCTTTTGTTTTTGTGGAAAACAAGGTTTGCCTCTAACAAAGGCAGAATAATGTTGACCTTGATTTTCTAATGCAGGCCACGTGGGCCACGGTTAGATTTCTGTCACAGGATGTGTGTTTGTATGAATAAGCCACTATGAAATGTCTAACCTGTGTTTGCAGGTAGGGCTCACAGGTGAGATCTGTTCGTTCAAGATTGCAGTAATCTGGAGAACTAAATGCTATTGGCCACCAACAGTGTTGTGAAAAACATTCAAGTTTCCAACTTAATTTTCAGGATCTTGTTCCTGTTTTTTGTTTGTTTGCTTGTTTTTTCTTTTCTATAATGTTTGTAATTATTTGGAGAAAAAATAAAAACATAACAAAACAAAATAAAACCTGCATCTTCTCGAAGGTTGCGTTTAAGACTTGGCTTCCTTGGAACCCAAGGGCAAGCACAGACAAATGCAACCCATGGCAGCATTACTGGGTTGTATCTGTTGGATGCTACTCACAAGGGTATGTAAGAATTGCTTATTTCAATCCAGAAGAACTATGAAAAGTTTGTGTCACCTATCTTACTGTAATGTTTTCCCCATAAGATGGGGAAAATGCATCCAGAGCCAGAAGAAAGTTCTCCTTTTGCCTTTCCTTAAAAACTGCGGTCCTGAGAAGATGTCCTGCAAAATTTTATTTTCACAGGCTCAAAATGGGGCTAAAATCATATGTTGTTGAGGTTCTTGTGGCTTTTTGACTCATGGAGAGATTTCAAGCAACTCACCTAGCAGTAATGTTTCTTAAACTTGAATCTTTTGAATCTTACTTATCCAAAACCTCCATTGCAAAGAGAATTTGTTACAGGTTTCTCCTTTGGAAAACAGTAGGATTGTACTCTCTATGCAGAGTTTCATGTGGCTGTTTTGAATGTTATCCTGTGAGCTCCATGTAGATGTTTATGAACCAACCAGTGACCTGGTGTCACATTGGTCAGTGTTGTCTCCAAATCTGCTTTTTTCCTTCTGCAACTTGCAGCGAGTCCCAAAAGTTCTTCGATGGGACAGAGAAGGAATATTGCCAAAGTTGAATGAGTTACAGCCTCTAGTACCTAATTAAAATGATTTTGTGCCAGTTGCTATTGTTGGGTAGGATCCACACATAATATAATTTTAATCCTGTTTATATACACTCCGGGGACAGATTTGAGATCAGCATTGCCATTTAAGTGAGGTTAATCAAGCATACTGTATGCAGCTTTTGTTTCTCTACGCTATGTGAAAGGTGACTACCGCTGATGGGATCCTGACTGGCCGTTCAGTGCAAAAACCACCACTTTCTTGTTAACAGAGTGTCTGATCATTAACCTAACCCCAGCCCCGGTGACTCTTCCTGCCTGGTCCCTGGAACTGCGCAGCTGTTGTTATTCACAGAGGAGCTTATAGTTATCAACTGGATCGTACTGGCAGCGGGTGCACGATGGTGCAGAGGGTAGGAAACAAGTGAAAAATAATTACGTCTTCCCTAAAAACAAATGCTATTTTTTGTATTCGTGGTGCGTTTTATGTATATATAAAGGACATTATGGCAAAATGAAAAAGACCCTCATAAAAATCCTTCTTGAAAAGTATTGTTGCTGACAGCCGTGACCTCTGTGAGTCTGCATGTTTACCCATAATTCATAATTAACAAAGACATTAGAACTGCCACTGGAGGATTCTGGGCTTTATTTCTTTCTAACTGGGCAGTACTAATGCTGGAAGTGCTCCCAATTCAGTGATTTAACATTTCAGGAAATCTTGGAGAGGCAGCAGAAGCCTCCTTATATAGTTCATACTCTGGGACTGTGGTTATACAGATATGGCTGAGATAATTATTCAGCTCTTGTTATTGCTGTAGTTCTGCACCTGATCCCTGAGCCATTAGAGCACTCTGCAGGTTATTACAACTATCAAACATCAAGGTCTCTTTTCTAGTCTCTCGACTATGTGGTTATCATTTTACTTCTTTTAAATCCTCCATCTGCATAGAAAGCTTCTGTGCTCTAACTTGGAGATCTGCTAACACTTTTTTTTTTTTTTACAACTTCCCAAATGAGGCCCTTTTCTTACCAGCACATTAACATAAAAATATAAACTTAGAGTTTCTCCACTTGTGTTGTTTTTATTTTCTCCCTCTTGTTGATTACTTCCTTGAGACACTATGCACCTACACAAGTCTGTGGAGAGAACGAGCACAGAGTGGTGGGGTTCTCCAAAACCATGGCAAAACCCAAAATCTCCCCAGGACAGTATCATTTCTGGTGTTGGGCTAGCTTTGTGCCGGCTTTTAGCTGATACACTACTCTGCTTTATGTGAACTTGTACCTTATTGCTGCTCTTCACGTTGGACAATTTTTTTTTAATGGAAAATGGAATGGTAGCTTTAAATGAAGATTTGAATCTAGCTGTGCTTAAAGGCTTGTTATTTGGTTGGGTAGTCCTCTGTCAGCATTTAAGATGGGGAATCTTGCTGAAAAAAATCTTTCCTGTATGTGATATCGTCACCTGGCTTTCACTGATTACCCTTAAAAAAAAAATTGGATCTGAATATCCTTCTTTCAGCTATTTGCAGTACAGACATTCACTCTTAGGATGATATTTAAGATAATTTTGTAAAGTAAGAACCTAGAGCAGACCTCTACAGGCTGTGTCATAAGGGAAAACAAGGAGCTAATGCTGGTATAGGCACAAGGGAGCTCAGCTTTCTGAAATCTGTGTTGGGCATTATATCAACAAAACACCTGCAAAAGGCATTCCATCAGCACCAGGCAAACTGGTGAGGGATCAAATCCACCAAGAGTCGGGGGCAGTCACAAACAGTATGGCAAAAGGAGGAAACATATGGTTGCCTTACTTAATATTGCTGTACTGTCGTCCCACAACATATTCCCCTAAATGGGCATTAGCTTTATTGGTAAATCGGAAGGATGTGGAACACAGGAGAAAAACATCGCGTGGATGGCGTGCTTTTTAATACAATGTGCAATCTAACAGATAGGCATTTATTCCTCTAACATACATTACATAATGCATATTATAATATTTCTTTAAATGATAAGTATTTTAGGAGGTATCTCAGGAAAGCTGTGGTTTTATATAATGAAAGCAAAGGGTAATTATGCTCTGATTTGTGCTTTACTTGTTTTCTAGTTATTCTTATGGATTTTTACTGCCTCTTTTGCATGGCCTTGCATGACAGTAGTACTTTTATACCAACTCTTTGTTAAGGTCTTTTGGCAGCAAACCTTAATATTTTAGCTAAAAAGCCATGTGATTTCCCATTATTTTTTATATTAGTATGACATGAAAATAAATGGAATTTAAGTGTGGGTTGTTTGGGGGGAGGGCTTGAATATTCTTTTATCAGGATACCTCACTGAAATCTATGTATATAAAGGAAGGAAATATCTGACTAGTGAACCTGGTTAAAAATAGTGAAAATATTTCAGTTTTAAGATTCACATTTTTATTACACTGTGGAAAGCAGGAAAAGACAACTTTAAAACTTTGTGTTTTTTTTTTTACATGAGTCTATTGGTTAAGCTTTAAAATTATCATAGGTGATTAATTGTAATACGGCATTCTTCAAAAAAAAAAAAAAAGAGGTGGTGGGAACAGCAGTGACAGGATAAGCTGTGTCACCCTTAGTACAGAATCCTGCTGCTGTACACAGCATTCTCTTGTTTAAAAACAATGTGTGCTTGTGACTTTAAAGCCATCATCTTACAAGTCGATGCTGGCATGGAAATCCTTGTACTTGCATCCTGTTGGACTTAGGACAGATTTAAGAATTGACTTTGAGGCCTTAGACTGAAAGAATCAGCACATAATTTTCATTAATCCATATCTTTCAATAATAATAACTAGATATATGATATTTAATAGCTTATTACTTGCTTAGAAATTTGAAACTGCATCAATAATCAGAAAATGGGTCATGAACTAATTTTTAGATAATAGTGTATTCTAATTAGAGCCTTGCTATGGTGTTTCTTGTAAGAGGCGATTAATTGTAAATGGTTAATTATACATTTTTACTTTATTTTAGGAGAACTGCAATAAAAAGTACCAGGATTTCACAGTTATGTTTATGTTGATCTGACATCAGACCTGTTTGCTCCCCTGTGCCGTCATCACATTCAGAGACGTGCTGCTGTGAATGACACCCTGTGGCACTCTGGTACTTTTGGAAAGGAGGTGACTTCATATTAGCTGCTTTTCTTTTTAAAGACAAGGATGCATGCTGTGTTTATTCTGTGCAGGGAGCAGCAATGGTGGGTGGCTGCTCCCTTTTCTCCATAAGGAAAGGTGAGCCAGGAGCTGAGGGTGGCAGCAAGATTGATGGGTGTCGCTGGTTTCACTGATGGAGTGTAGCACCAGTGCAAGATTAGGCTCAGTGACAGGGAAGACTCATGTCCAGTGATGGTAAGCAGGGTTAACAATAGTCCAGATCACCAGAGATGTCCACGGCAAAGTGGTCAGTCTGAGGTCAAGCCAGGAATGCAAGTTCAGGATCTGGGTCACCGTGAACCTCAAAGTTCATGGCCAGGGACATGTGGCAGAGCTCAGATGAAGACTGAGGACAAGATCCTGACCACAAATGCAGCTCCTATAAATACAGCAAAGGGAAGGAGGCCCTGGAAAGGCTTCTTGCAGCTCTTTTTACAGCGGCCTGATCCAAATATACACAGCCGCAGAATATCAGTGCTGGCTTCAAACACATGCAGCCAGATCTGGGGAGGTGGCTGTGTGTGCACAAAAGTATGGCATTACATTATTGGTCTTCTGGATGGATAGGACACATAGAATAAACTGTTCCCTGTTTATAGTCCCTAAGCACAACACTGAACCGCTGAACTTTAAGGTAAGTAGAATTTTTTTTAAGTTTCATGGTGTTTTTGTGGATTTAGCCACACTGTCCCTTCTAAAGCCAGTGGGAAATGAGCAACTAAATCCTTGCAAATGACTTAGAAATGTAATGCTTTGAGAGGCTGCTGGCTAGCATGTTGTCCAGAACTCATTAGTGCCTAGATAGCTACCATACGCTGAAAGGAAAAATATGCCTGTACTTTTCACAGATGTTTTATAGGACTATATTCTGTGTTACTCAGAACTCACATCAGCTTTTTTGTGAATTGTACAGATGCTCTAGATTGCAGGATTAAGCCTGCTATTTTTCAGTTCAAGACACTAATGAGTTTTTAAAACCCAGAAGTAAAAGATATTTACCTGACTGTATGGAAACTCCGGGAGAGACCTGTCCATGGGTAAAACCACAAGCAAGACAAGTGTGTAAATGTCTGCAAAATCAGACAGCAAAGGAAATGTTTCAGGCCAGCAAGCAAAGGTTAAGAGAATATGTAACAAAATAATACTTATATGTACTTATCCTTCTGTGTATCCCAGCTATAGCTTGGGGGTTTGACTGATCTCGATGTTTTCACTGGGGAACTGGATGCAGCAATGTTCTGCACCTGTTACAGAAGAGCTGTCAGTGAGGGATTCTTCTCAAGTGGGAAGGATGTGGTAGCATAGGATGGGGCTGGAGGCTGGGAAAGAGATCGGGATTAGACGGGTGTCTCCTAGGGAGATGAAACTGCAAACTGTGTCTGTCTGTCCTTCTGCCAATGTAACATTGCCTCGAGACTGAACACCCTGCTAGGGTGCGTTTCTCCTCGGTGACAAAAGGGAGCACAACTCCCTTCATAAATGGGAGAGTTGGGCACTCTGCAAAGTATTAACATCATAAATATAATACAGGGAAAAAAGGTCTAATTTTTTGGTACTGCAAAGCCACCACTGCTGCAGGGAAGATAAATCTTGGCTGAAACATGTTGGCATGTACACCACAAAACCAAAATGAAAAACTTGGCCTCATCCTTGGCGTGCTCCATTGCAACTGTCATTGCAGCAAATATTTTATGTAAACTCACCCTTAGCTTAGAGACTTCCTGGGTAATTAGGTAACAGGAGATGGCTCTTCATTTCTTCTTGTCCTCCATTATGATTATACCTTAATGTCTATTGCTTTTCTCAAACTTTTTTTTTTTTCCTAAAAAAAAAAAAAAAAAAGTTGTGATGGATTACAGGCAACATCTTCTTTTTATTCCCAACAGAAAATCTTTAAAAACGTCATACAGTGAGATTGGATTATTTCGTATTCTTACCCAGTAGTCTTTTGGTAGTGTTAAGTCTCTATTCCTTCTGGTTTTGTTTGTGCACACCACTGGTGGTTTGTTGTGAAGTGATATATCCTTCCTCATTTCAAAACCATTGATCTAAGTTTCCTTCATTAAGAGGGATTTTTGTGTGTGTGTGTGAAACATTTCAGGTCAGTCCTATAGGACCATGCTGGTCTCATTGTAACCACTGCTGCAGAGCATGGAAACTTGCTGGCACAGTATTGCAAAGTGACTCTGCAGGGGCTGGATGACTTCCAGCCAGCAATGAACCACAGCCAAGAAATGCCAATATGGATAATGCAAACAAGAGAGATTTGGGGCACATTTCGATTTAACCATCTGATTTAATTGACAGAATAAATGCACCTGTCATCGGGTAATATTCTTGTGATTAGTTTTGGCTGTGCTGATGAAACGATGTTAAAAGAATGTCAGAACAACCTGTCCTGGGACTCCTACAGGCAGTTGCAAGCTAAGGAAGGTCAGTTTTCAGCTAGATAAAAGATTCAAAATTCTCTCTTCTTTATTTCCTCCTTTGCGGTTGCATGTGTCTTGTACCAAGACAATTACCGAACAATTTATCTTGCTTATTTTCCCTATGCAGCCATTCTTATGGATCCACAGGTCAAAACAAACACAAATTACTGATGCTGTAGCCTCTTCTTTTACAGGCTTTGTTGAGGCCATTCTGTATTTGGAAAGAGATCCATTCACAAGGTCACCATTTGCCTATTTGTGTGTTGTCATTCAGACTTGGCAGCCTCTGTGGAAATGGCAGCTTGCTTAAGAGCCAAAGTGTGATGTGTGCCACTGTCTTTTGCCTCCAGAAGCAGCTGATCAGGGAGACTGAAAGAGACTGGCTTCTGAGCCTTGGGGCCATACCCACCTGATCTTAATCTCCTGTAACATGAAGCTGATAGGAGGAGGCTGAAGCTGATTCTGAGCAACAGGGTGTCAGGACCACCTTTTGGAGGTGCCTTTCACTGAGCCATTTTACTGGACTGTAAAGGCAAGAGATGGGATAACCAAAGTTAAGTTTATTATAAAGCTCATTTTGCTAATACATGATAAGGAAAAACTCCTCAGCTGAAAAAGTAAACTGGCATATTGGACAAAGGTTTGGGGAAAAGACAGATGAGGATCTCTGTTTTTACAGGGGGAACTGGTTTACAGAGAGGGAAGAAGAAGAAGTACGCCTCTTCCATGAACTGTAATAGGAATTACACCTCCTCCGTAGTACCTGCTGCAGTGACTTACAGTTGCTGTGTTGAGTGGAGTGGCAGTGGCCACATGGCTGCACATCCCTCGGTACAGATGGAGCCGCATCTGTCCCTGTTTCAAAGGGGGAAATTGAGGACTAGGCAATTTAATGACTTGCCAGAGGTCACAGCTAAGGTCTGTGACAGCACAGGGAGTGAATCTAAATTCTTTCAGTCCGAGGGCCTCATCCACCATGCCACACTTCTGATGATTAAATCATAGTATTTTCTTTTCAGCACCACATGTATGATGGTGTTTAATCTTACTTTCGGTTTACTTGAAGACTTTCCTTCAATATTAATTGGTTTTAAGCAGAAGTGTTAATATATCGAGAAAGGAACCTGAATAACAGACTTTCCTGGTGAAGACCCAGAGGTACAGATAGTTAGGATGGCTTTCCCCATCTGCAGTTAGCACAGTCTCCCCAAAGTGCCCCGGTGCAGTTAGGCACCTGGGAACTGGCTCCTGGGAAAGGTGAGTCCAGTTTCCTGCAGCCACTCCTCGCAGGATGGTTGGGGCAGTGCCAGACAGGGATTCTGAAGAGAGGAATAAATTCAACATTTGAATGTGTGTGTGCTGAAACATAGCTTAAACATAGTTTGTTTCTTCTGCTGGTTGACAAGTTATAAATGTAGGGGGAAAAATGTAAACTAACTTATTCATGAACTGGACTTGCAGAGCCAGTTTGTCCCATTTAGAGACATTGCAAAGACCTAGGCACCATCCAGTGCCATTTAAGCTCTCTTTTGCATGGGGTTAGAGGCTGCACTGGTTTATTGCACAGGTGTGAATTTCATCTTGAGTTCAGAAGTGCTGTACAAGTACTCTTGAAGGTGTTATTTTTTCCTTTGTCAATTTTTGAAGCATAAACATACATTAGTTTCCAGGCAGCACCGACGTGCTGCTTCAGTTACGCTCAATTAACCATGAAATTTGGGGGTTGCGCGAACTTTCAGTCTTGTGATTTAAGGTTTTGATCTCAACCCATTTATGTGCTGTGTCATGAAACAAGTCAGTGGCCAGCCATGAGAGAGTGCTCTCAGTCTGCTGATAGCGGGGGAATCTGCGTGGGGTGGGGTGGGATGTGGTACAGGGCAGTGGTGTCACAGACAAAAATCAGTGTTTGTGATGCTTGCGTTGCTTAAAATTTCTAAACTTCATTTATAAGCCTCCATGGGAAAAAGTGGCTCTTCTTAGTAAATGTCTAAAAACGCTACATTGAAGTATTAAATGTTAAAGCTTTATATATCTGTGTGTGTGTATATATATGTAATTTATTTTTAATGAGGTTTAACCCAAATGGGCATGCCATGGTTCGTGCATACTCACAGCATGTCATTCAGGTCTGCATGGCAAGAAAGATCCTAGCTTAAGATACAGCCTCTTGTGCTCTCCTGTGCAGCTCTGTTGCCACCAGTGGCAATAAGAAAACTCCCTTTATTATTTATCACCAATGTGATGATGCTGTTTTCTCAGGAATCATCTCCATTTTTGTTCAATGCTAGTGCTCCATAAGCAAAGTTCTCCTTTTAGGAAGCTTCTTTGAATTCCTCATTTTCTGTACCCCTGCCTTCCATTGTATGCCCACAATACAAAGGATAGGAAATATTCAATTTGAGAGAGATTTTCTTCAAATATACTTTAGAAGGGTGTTTATCACGTTTGTAAAGCAGGAGCTCTAAGACTTCAAAACAGTTCAGAAAAATGGATCTGTGCATATTTTAGATATAAGTTTGTCAGATTAAATACATTAAAATTGTGTGAGAGAAGAAACACTAAAATATCCCTGTAAAACGAATTCAGCAGATTGTGCCGTGGACAAGACTCACAGGAAGAGAGGGAAAATAACAAAAACATGTCTGAAGCCTCCTCCGCGTGCCTGGAAGTTTGGACGCTTCTTCACTTTGAAAATAAAATTCTAGGTTACCATGAAAAATGAGGAGATAGAGGAACATGAAGTGTCATTTAGAAATACACTGTAGCTTGAAAACCTGGTAACTTTCTTCCAGTGGTCTTAAAGGGACTTGGCATTTGAGAGAATAATTAACTTAAGAGAGAATTAATTTGGTTTAGAAAGTAAAACTGAACACCAAATAAAATGCAAATGATTTTCTAGTTCCTTTCTGCCTAGGTATTGATGCTCTGCAAATAAGCTGAAGCTTTCATGGAAAAAAAGATCTGCTGCTGCCTTACTTGGCTTGTAAGTTTTATCTAACTCTTGCATAGCTGTGTCCTAGGTAGCAGTGGTTTTCCTAAAGCTTTTAAGCACTCTAGAAGCAAGTTTTACAAGCATCATGAAAGCAAAGTGTTTCTGGGTGGTGAATGTGAGGTAGGATCACTTTCCTAGATTGGTTTTCCTTTTTCCTTTGCTGGGAACCCCTAATTCCCTGTCGGTGTCAGCAATTCCCTTGCTTTTGCTACTGGAAATTTGTGGCAGCTCTTGAGCCACTGTAGAGGAAGAAGTTCACTCTGAATGTGCTGATGTGTTGAGCTGATCCAAAAACAGTCAAGGAGAGCAGAGCAGTTGTTTGGCCAGCTGGCTGGCACCTGGAAGCACACCATCTCTCCACAGCTGCTCCTAAGGCAGGGCTTTGGGACAACTTGGCAAGTTGGAAGAAACTTTTGCTTCTAGGGAGAGAAACAGCGCTTTTGGAGAAAGAAAGGAGGCGTTGAAGCATAGGGTATTGTAAAAACAGAATCACTTTCGATCCCAAGAACCAAAGTATAACAGAGTAAATAGGTTCAAATTCTCTTTAGTTGATAGGCAGCATGGCCTCTTTCCTGGGGGTGGCTTTGGCACCAAGTCTTAATGTTAATTCACGGTTTCCATACTGCTATCCCACCGCATCATTAAATCTCACAGGAAATGCAAATACAAGTTGCCTGTCATTTATCAATGAAAATATTGTTTAACATTTGCAGTGTATACACAACCCATTATAAAACTCAGTGGTGCATGCTCAGAAGCAAAATGTATTACTGTAGATATCAGTAGATAACTATTTATAATTAATCCTGTAGGAATAGCAGTTTGAACAGTAAGAAATATCTAAACTAAATGGAGGGTGAAAATGCTTTAAGTTATTTCCATAGCTGCTAAGGCTCCTGCTCTGGTCATTTTAGGGTCAGCCTTCATTTAGACAGCAACAGAAGTGAGCAAGAAGTCATTGCCCAGCCAATGGTAAATACTGGAGAGAAGCAGAGCCTATGTCATGATCTAGATTTTGGTATTCTGGAAAAAAAATATGTTTCAGTTTGAGTGACTGTTTGGATATAGCAGCTTTTGCTGCAGTAAACCCTGGGATCAAAAGAGTCTGGGTGAGCTCCAGTTTAAGGCTAAAACAGCCCTGCAGAGGCGCCTGTCACAGGTGTTTCAATCAGTTCTTCCAAAGGAAGAATTTTTAATTCTCCTTAATATTCACATCATCAACGGGGGAGAACCCTCATTTCCGTCTATTAGTGTGGCTTCCACCTATAGGACATGAAAAATTATCTGAATTGAATTCATAAGCGATCTTCCTGAGAAATGACTACATAATCGATTTTTAGCTGGAGAATACCTCACGTTAATGACATTACTGGTCATCCTGCCTCTAACACTTACACTGTCACCTCTATTTCTGTCTCTTCCTGTGGTCTCGAAGGCAGCCCATTTTCTCCCGTTCTCAAACAGTAGGTATGTAAATATGTGGGCCTTTCACACCGCTTCCTGGTGACTGAGAATTTCCCAGACAAACCCAGTGACCTTTCTTAAAAGTAGGGGGATGTTTCTTACAAGTACACTGCATCAGATAAGAATTCTTAAACCCAAAATGCAGCCATGGATTATGGCACCTGAGACTGGGACAGGTTCTGTCCCTGCAGCTCTAGGGTAGTATCTGAAGATACATTACTATATAATGAAATGTTATATGCATGTAGTTTAGTTGATTGTTTGTTTGTTTGAGAAAAGGGGTCTTATTTCTAAATCTTCTCCACTGGAAGAGCTAACTCCCTCCTGACCATTTGTTGCTGATTATTCAGACATATTCCTCTCTGCCACTCTGTCTTTAAATGTAAAGGATTTCTTCAATTTAAACCTGAAAAGCATCATGGATGTGATTAGCCTTTGCTGTCAATCTCTGGTGTGTTAAGACAGAATTTGACATGTAGCCTAAAAGCTTTCCAGACCCAGAGAAAAACCACAAATGAAAAGTGAGTTAAACTCTCGTGCATCTTTACAGATGCATTGGAAAATGTATTAGGATAGCGGTAAACTCACAAAGGTGGCAACACGACTTGTGTTTGCAGCGTTGTAAAGACCTGCCTTGCTGCTGACCTGTATTGGACACAAGACCCTCTGAAAGGCTGATTTTCCAGGTAGCATTTCAGAGTTTTGCTGAGGTTGTCTCTGCATTGCCTGTGTGTACGGCCTCTGACACTGCGTCTTCGCTAGCAGAGAGCGTTTGCGAGTCAAGCTGAAGTTCATGCAGGCTTGGGGCACTGCTAGAAACCCCTCAGACTCTCGGCGCTTCGGAGTGGACATAACGTGAATTGGCACTCAAAATTTGCTGCCACTTCTATGAATGCTGGAGTGTGTGAGAAACTCTTAAAGGCAAGCTGTCCGATTTTTCCACCCTCTTCAAGCACAATGCGTGTCAACTACCTGCTGATGTGCTGCTGCATCTCTGCCTTGCCTTTCATCCTTTGCTGGTGAGGGTGATTCAGGTACCTCAAAGGGGCTGAAAGACCTGCAAGGAATGACACACAGTGGGGCCTGTGGGAGATCTACCAGCGGCAGCTCGGAGCAGAGCATACTTGTTACGGGGTCCAGAAGGACCCTGGATGCTGTGTGAAGGAGCTGAATCCAGTGTGGCATGTTGATGTCATGGGAGTTTGTCTTGAATGTCTCCCAACAGCTTGAAGCTGAGCTCAACATTCAGGACTGTATCAATCAAGTAGAAGTAGACTTATGTTTTAGGCAGAGTTAACTGCCTGCGTTAATGTTGTGTGTTTTTAAGATTTGAAAATGTAGAATCCTAAGAATTATTAATATGCTGCTGTAAGAATTCGTATTTCAGTCTGAATGCTCCAAACTACCATCAGATTATGAGAAGAAAATTAGCCTTGCACGTATTTGTTAGGATGGCATTGTAGGAAGATGAACTGCATCCAGTAGACAGTTGTTGTCCTTGATGGAAGCTTACAGTTGTTGGTGGTTTTTGTCTGTTTGTTTGTTTTTTAAAAAAGAACTTATTTAAACAAAATGAAAATTGGGGTTGGGAGTGATGCAGTGAAAGACATTGTCTATATCTTTTTTTGTGACAACAGCAGTTTTAAAATAATTCTGTCTACGTGTGTGTGTATATATATATATATATATATATGCATATTTAGCTCTGCAAAATCACAGAATTTGGTCTCCAGCATGCTATTTTTAGAAAGCCATAACAGGACAACTTATGAATCCTTTAATGTTTTTGAAAAATAACACAAAACCCTTTCAGAATAACACTTAGTGAATTTTTATCATGTAAAACCCAATAGTGGAAGACAAATCTGAATGTCTGTATTCTAATCAGAGCAGTATATTTTCCATATTAAGCTTATTGTTTGTACATATTAAGAAGGAAATCGACCAGGCGATATAGGAGTTCCTGTTAATGTTAATGTGAACCCCTCATTCACAACAGTTTGGAGTGAGTGATGCTGCTGTTCGCAGAGCCAGTGCAAAGGATATATGTTTAAGACAGAGTGATCATTAGGGATGCAGGGCATGCCTAAATTTAAGGCAGAAGAGCCTTTCTGTCCCTTCAGACCTGCTCATTTGGATTAGGTGTGGAAGAATAAAAAGATTCTTTTCATAGATGCTTTCTGCAATCTGCCATATTCGTAACGCCTGGAAGGTTTAATACATTGGTGAGTTTATCTTTAAATTGTTAATCTGATTGCGCTGCTGCTGCATGTTTTAGGATTAATTTGGGATCAAGGAAATCTATTAGCTTAATGAACATATATTAGGTGTGTTGTATATGGAATAGAACATTACCACAGTTTTATTGTTTTGTCATCCTCTCTAAGAGGCTTTTAGTTAGACTATTACCTGTTGCACTAATGCAGATTTTTACTTGGAATGTACTTTGCACGTTTGTTAAGCTTCTGCATGATAGCTTTTTTTTTTTTTTTAAACGGACTCCATTGCACTCAGAAACCTTTGTTAGTGGGAATTTATGGTAATGGTCGTCATTGGTGGCACTGAGTCGCTGCTTCCCACCCACACTGGTTCAGAATCCGGCTCTGTCACTGTAACAAGAGAAGGATGCTGACTCCTAGTGACAAATATTACTCCTTTTTTTTCTCCCTTCTAGCTGTATGCAAGTTGGGCAAATGGTTCATTTAAAAATATATATATGTATTCAATTATTTCCTTGTTTAAAATATTTGCAAGTTTGAGGTTAAAGGTTATTCAAAGCAGGAAACTACAAGAAAATAAATGTTCTTGGAAATTCCTAAGCTTACTGACTTCTCTTTTGGAGTCCACCAGCCAATTCTAGTATCCTCTTAAGAAGCTTGCCAAAACTTTAAAATCTGTTCAAATCATGTAAAGCATACTAGGAAAAATTCCTTCCTGTTTTACTTTGGAACTGGCAAAAATTTTCCAGAAAATGCTAAACTCTGAATGTCTGAATAAAGCCTTTATGTGCTCCATAATGATGCAATGCCTTCGATTAAAGCAGGTTGGCCTATTTGAGAGGCTCCAGTAGCTAAATGCAGGCATTCCAGTGGAGAGGAAAGGGGGGAAAATACTAGTGTTGCATCTGCTTGTTTTTATTTTGGCATAAATTAAATAATAATTTACAAACCTCAGAACAGTACTGAAATATGTATTTCCTAATAATAGCTAGAACTGTCAGGAAACGGTTTTATTTAAGCCATACCTGATGCAATTTTGGAATATGTAACTAGTAGATGTTACGTTCCCCCCCCAGTTGCAATCAATTAACGGATCCCACTTAATAACCTCAAACACACATTAAACCTATTTGTTTCCACAGCTCGGGAACATCAACAAGAACAATTTAGATGCCCAAGCTAATATATATGATTCCATTATAGGCCTGGTGCCCTGGAAGATGTCATCCAGGGGCTGTGTTCAACCATTCTTTTAATGTTCAAGTAGTTTTGAAGCACCATTAAGAGGTGATCAGTGGTAATTGTCTT